AGCCTGCGCTCGCCCTCCAGCTCCCGCCCTGTATGCGGGGCTCAGCCAGGCGGCAGCACGGGCAGTGGACAGAGCGGGTGCACCCCAGCAGGTGTCTGTCTGGCCTTCTCTCCAGAGCGTCTTAGATGGTGGGTGGCAGTCGAGGCCCCACCTCCAGAGGCCACTCGTGTCCAGGGCCAGGTGGGTCCTGGTGGCTGCACCTTGTCAACTGTTAGGAGACCGTCCAGAGCCCACCTACGGGACAGATGAGGCTTTCCCTGGGTGGTTTGCTGATGAGGGACAGGGAGGCCCGTGGGGGGAGGCGGCTCCAGCCTGTCCTGTCTGAGGGGGCTGTCCCCTCCTGACCTGGCAAATGAGGCAGCTGGCGTTTGGCCTCAGAGAGACCCTCCCCTGGGGCTCAGAGAGTGTCCAGATGATGAGGGCCCTGCCGGTCGTGCAGCGTCTCCCTTGGAGAAGGGGCAGGCCTGTGTCCTCTGGGCAGACCTGGGAAGGCTCTGGGGGCTCTCGGCCTCATGGGGAGCCGGTCACCACCTGAGGTGTGGGCGGGACTCAGCCTCGGGGCTTCCTTGCTCTGGCTGCTCTTTGTTGAGACGCCAAGTTTCGGGTTGGGCTGGAGGATGCCTCGGTCTGTGCAGAGGTCATCGTCACTGGCGTGGGAGCATCCTGCCAGGCCAAGTAGAGCACAGCTGTGTGCCTGGGGGAGGCGGTGAGGCTCGGGGAGAGTGGGGCTGAGCCCCGGGGCAGAAAGGTTTGCGGCAGGGCAGGGTCCCCTCACCCTTGCCTCTGGGAAAGAAGGTAAAGAATGGATGCCTGGGTCCCAGCAGGTCTGACAGGGCCCGGAGGGCGCTCCTGTCTCTGCTGTCCAGACACACCTCCTCCCCCGGCCCCCTTGGACCGGGCCCCCTTCCCCTGCCCTCCTCCCCCTGGCCCCCTGGGACTGCGCCCCCTTCCCCTGCCCTCCTCCCCCGGCCCCCTTGGACCAGGCCCCCTTCCCCTGCCCTCCTCCCCCTGGCCCCCTGGGACCGCGCCCCCTTCCCCTGTCCTCCAGGGTTAAGGCCGGCAGGAGGGGCGCAGGGAGCCGGGTGGTCACCGCTCTGCCTCCGCAGGTACTACCAGAGCTTTACCAACTGCACGGAGGTGGAGACCAACGTGGTGGGCTGCTACTGGCCCAACCCCCTGGCGCAAGGCTTCATCACTGGCATCCACAGGCAGTTCTTCTCCAACTGCACGGTGGACAGGGCACACTGGGAGGACCCTCCAGACGAGGTCCTCATCCCGCTCATCGTTGTGCCCGTCCTGCTGACCGTGGCCATGGCCGGCCTGGTGGTGTGGCGCAGCAAACGCGCTGGCCAGCTGCTGTGAGGGCGCCCTGGGGGGGGGGGGGGGGGGCGGGGCGGGGGGGCGGGGGGGCCGCCGGGGGCCCGGGGGGGGGCGGCGCCGCCCCCCCCCACCCCCATCCCATCTGGCTACCTGCGAGCCTTATGTGGCTCACCCGGGCTTGTCCTCTCCTGGGCCTGGGAAGAAGGTGCACCGAGTCCGGAGCTGTGCGGGGAACGATTGGCTGCTGCTGCGCCCTCCGCCCGCGCTGGGCTGGGGCCTCCAGGGTTTCCGGGCCCTCCTGACCCCTGCCCAGGCACCCTGCCCTGACCCCAGCCCCGGCCTGGCTCGGACCCCACCTCCCAACCTGAGCTCAAGCCCTGCGCTGACCCACCCCCTGTCCTGACCCCACCCCCTGCTCTGACCATCCCCCCCCCCCCCCCCGCTCTGACCCCACCTTCTGCTCTGACCCCACCCCTGGCCCTGATTCCACCTCCTGACCTACCCACCCCCTGTCCGGGCTTCACCCTATTCTGTCACTGCTATGGGTCCCCTGGCCTGGCCTGCCCACCCCCACCTGCACTGGGTGGGGTAGATTGTCAGCTGGGTGTTTGTACTGCCTGGTGCCCTGTGTCTGAGCCCTCCTGGCCGAGAGCCCATGCTCATCCTGCGGCCAGAAATCCTGAGACTGAGGGTCAGGCCGGAGTCCCCCGGGGGCCGTGCACTGCCTGAGACCCCCTGTCTGCGCCCACAACCAGAGACTGGGCTGTGGTGGGTGCAGGCCTCCTTCCTAGGCCCCTGTGAGCCAGGCCATCTGAGCTGGGGTCCTGTGAGCCCCAGTGCTGGCTGAGTTCTGTCTGTGCTGTGTGCTTTCTCTGAGTAAACAGTCATCCTGCTTGTGGGGCATCCTGTTTTATTTCGGGGTATTCAGAGAGAGTCCCGCCTCTTGGGGCTGACAGGTCCTCATACCTGTTTTCCAGATGGGGAGTGGCTGGCCGTGTCCCAGGGTGGTCTCTGGGATGCCGGCTGGTGGCTCCTTGCTGGGGTGAGTGGTGGGGCTGGGCTCTGAGGGCGGCGAGGGAGACCTGGCAGGCAGGTCCCTTGTCCTCCCGAGGCCATGCTCCTCTTCCGGCCGGGCTCTTGGTGGCCTTCACCACAAGGTCCCAGCAGAATGGAGCAGGCAATGGCTGGATCTCGTGGGCTGGGATCTCGTGGGTTGGGATCTTGTGGGCTGGGATGTGGCGGTCCCCTCCTAAAGGCTCTCTGCCCTCACCTGGCCACCAGAGCCTCCCTGCTTCCCCGCTGTGTGACTGGGTCCCTGCCTTGGGGAACCCTCGTCTGTCTGTCCACCGTGGCTCTGAGAATCATCTCTGGCTGGAGGTGAGGTATGAATGTCCCCTGCTCAGCTTTGCGGGGACGACAGGTCACGGAGCAGCCTGGGAGGTCTCAGAGTCCCATGTTCAGTGACCGAAGGAGAGAATGTGTGGCCCCTGCTGCGGGCGGGCGGGTGTTCCTCTGGGTATCCCTGGGCTGTGGCATGTCCCCGGTGCAGTTGTTTGTAGTAACCTCTAACCCAAGCTCTGTGGAGCTGGCAAACTTCTGTGCAGTCAGCTGCTTGTCAGCGGGGACCCTGCTGGACTCCGTCCCTTCCCACCCCAGCCTCTCTCAGCAACCCCCGCCCCTGGCTTTGCCTTGGGTCTCTCATCCCTGATGCTGAGTGGGTGTCACCTGAGCACCAGAGGCTGCTTGCTTTGGCCTAAATTCTGGGCTCCGTGTGTTTATTTTTTTTTTTTTTAAATTTTTTCAACGTTTATTTATTTTTGGGACAGAGAGAGACAGAGCATGAACGGGGGAGGAGCAGAGAGAGAGGGAGACACAGAATCGGAAACAGGCTCCAGGCTCTGAGCCATCAGCCCAGAGCCTGATGCGGGGCTCGAACTCACGGACCGCGAGATCGTGACCTGGCTGAAGTCGGACGCTTAACCGACTGCGCCACCCAGGCACCCCAGGGCTCCGTGTGTTTAGAAGGATGTCGTTTTAGTCTGTGTCGGTGGCTACAGCAAAATACCACAGACTGGGTGCCTTGTAAACAGCAGGAATCTATTTCTTATGGTTCCAGGGGCTGGAAGGTCCAGGATCCCAGCTGCAGATTCCGCAAGGTATCTGCTGAGGGCCTGCCTCTGCCTCACAGATGTCCTCCTGTGTCCCCTCTCAGCGGGAGGGGTGAGGGGGCTCTCTGGGGTCTCTTTCACGAGGACTCCACCTGTGAATGCCATCCCATAGGGCACTGGGGAGTCAACACGGGAGTCTGGGGAGGACACAGATGTTCTGACCTCAGCAGATGTGGAAGGGACCTTGTTCTTCAGTGGCCCCATCTATGCCAGGGGACAGTCAGGACGAGATAAAACGTGACATCACAGTTTTTGCAGAGCGCTCTGTGGCTGTGGTCCCAATACGGTGCATTCATGGTGTCTCTCTTACATGGATTTGCTTTCCCTTTTAATTTTTTAAAATGTTTATATTTGAGAGAGACAGAGTGTGAATGGGGGAGGGGCAGAGAGAGAGGGAGACACAGAATCGGAAGCAGGCTCCGGACTGTGAGCTGTCAGCATAGAGCCGGACGCGGAGCTCAAACTCACGGACCGAGATCATGACCTGAACCGAGTCGGACCCCCAACCCACTGAGCCGCTTATGCGCCCCTGAATTTGCTTTCCTCTAGGAGCACTATTTTAGTCTACAGTTGGAGAATCGACTTCTCAATCAAGGAACGGAAACCAAATAGATACTAGTGATGATCAATGAGGTATCTGGGAAGCACACTGTTCTCTTGGTTACCCAGCTCTAATTAACCAGGTGGTCGGTGTCTCAAGGGCTCCCGTCAGAGAGATGGGAGTGGGGGGGGGGGGGGGGGGGGGGGGGGCCCGGTATCAGCCTTGTAAGGTCCAGGAACACGCAGCGAGAGGCTGAGCAGGACTCCACAGCCTGGAGCCTCCGAGGACCCGAGGACCCGGATCAAGGGTTGTTACAGGTACGAGGAGAAACGGAGCACATTAAACAGATCTCCCCAAATCGAAAGATCACATAAACACACACACGGAAAGTGGGGATGTACAACTGCTAACAAGCTTGACACAATCTGCATCTAATGTTTATTATCTATCGATTATCTATCAACCTGTCTGTCCTTCCCAAGTGGAAATATTCATCCTTTTGAAACACCCAAGGGGAACCGACAAAGGTTGAAATGATTTTGGCCACAGTCTTGGGTTAAAAGGACTGAAGAGTGGAAGAAAGAATCTTTTTACTTGGAAATTACAAACTTTCTTTTATTTTAAATTATTTTTTTAGTGTTTATTTATTTTTGAGAGAGAGACAGAGCGCAAGCAGAGGACAGGCAGAGAGAGAGGGAGACACAGGATCCGAAGCAGGCTCCAGGCTCCAAGCTGTCAGCACAGAATCCAACACGGGGCTCGAACCCACAGACCATGAGATCATGACCTAAGCTGAAGTCAGACACTTAACCGAATGAGCCACCCAGGCACCCCTCTTCTGCCCATTTTTTTTTTAATTTTTAATGTTTATTTTTGAGAAAGAGAGACAGAGCACAAGTAGGGGAGGGGCAGAGAGAGGGAGACACAGAATCCGAAACGGGCTCCAGGCTCTGAGCTGTCAGCACAGAGCCCTACGCAGGGCTCGAACTCACAGACTGCGAGATCATGACCTGAGCTGAAGTCGGACGCTCAACCAACTGAGCCCCCCAGGCGTCCCACAAACAAACTTTCTGTGTAATTTTGGGTTCAAGGGGTAATAAAGATGGAAATCACAATCATTTTCGAGTCCGTACCGCTAAAAGCACCATCTGCATCAGCTCACACGGGCTGCATTTGTGCTCGGCAGTGGGGAGGGTGTGTGAGGTGTCTGGTGCCCAGTGTGACTGAGGGGGTCCCCTAGTGGGCAGCACCCCTCCTACACCAGCCCCCTGCCCAGCACGGGTAGGTAAACGCTGGCGAGTGTTGACAGGGCCCCAAACCGCAGCACGGACCCAACAGTGTGTAGCCTCAGATGCGTTTCCAGGAAATATGAAAGATGGAAATAAAACTCACTAAGTGTGCAACTCAATACACTAGTAACAGATAGCAAAGGAAACACGGAAAGTGTAGAAGGAAGAAATAAGAAATGATGGAAACAGAGGTAATGAAATCGAAAAGACAGACAAGCTTTGATCAATAAAACGGGGTCTTTGTTTGGAGTTGTGGTGGGGAACCTGAATGGGATGGTGTCTGAAGATGAGGTTGGAAAGTCACTTAGATTCCACCTCTAAAGTAGGACCGCAGGCCTTTCGGATTTGCGAGTACTTTCTGCCAGATCGTAGACAAAGACAGAAGTTCCCTAAATAATGGTGCTCGTCCAGGGCCACCTTGACCCACCAGGACTCGGTCTGAGAAGGTAGCAGATGGCAGGGGCCTGACTGACAAGAAGCGGCTTAACCACGTGTGTGGTTGTATTGAGCACACTTTTCATTTTCTGTGATTTACGATGTTCCGGCATCTTACAAACTCTTTCTGGCTTGGGAGGCTGGCCCCCCTGGGCCAGCGGTTCTCAGGGCAGGTGCAGGTCCCAGTGGAGTCCTGCCTTTGATGTGCCTGCCGGCCAGCCCAGAGCCAGCCTGTGTGGACCAAGGAGGCAGTGCCTGAACCTCATCAGCCCGGGGCCAGGTACCAGGCAGCTGGGGACAGCCCGGAGTTTCGAACCTGCTGGAATTATTCAAGGTAGCCAATTTTGAGCTGATTAGCCTGCCCTGTGAGTGCTAACCTGTGCCCTGTGGAAATCCCAGAGAAGACTCCGGCCTGGGCTCCCCCCACCTGACCACCTGGTGCCTCCCCGTCTCTGGGCCCTATTGGTACAATCACCTTTGTTTCCCGAGCCTCTCCTGCATCTCCTCTTGTGGCACACCGACTGGCATCCCGTTGAAGAACACGACCAGTGGCTGGGGCAGTGACCCAGGGATGTCATGAGGGGACCTGCTTCATGACCTCTTTCCTTGAACTTTCCTAGCTGCTCATGAAAGCAGGGGGTAAGGAAGGGCAGAGGTAGTTTCTTCTTGGGATTTCACCCTTTTTTTTTTTTTCCCCAAGTTTATTTGTTTATTTTGAGAGAGACAGAGACAGTGCTGGTAGGGGAGGGGCAGAGAGAGAGGGAGACACAGGATCCCAAGCGGAGTCTGCACTGTCAGTGCAGAGTCAGACGCAGGGTTCAAACTCTCGACCATGAGATCATGACCTGAGCAGAAATCAAGAGTCAGATGCTTAATTCACTAGGCCACCCAGGCACTCTAGGACTCCACCTTTTCTTCAGGAAATCTCTCTCTTCCAGGGCTTCTCCCTGTGACTCTTGGCCAGACTCGTCTCACGGACCCACCTGTAGCCGCAGGACAGGCTGGGAATCAATGTTCCAGAGAAGAAACGCGGGACAGAGGAGAGGGAATGAGCAGCCCCAGGTTTGCCACGTAAGCGGAGCAGGACGGGCCCAGGGGGCGCACAGACTGGCGGCCCCCAGACACATACTTCACGTGTGTCCTAGTGGCGAAACATCGGATGCGTCCTTTTTTTAAAAACCATTTTTAAAGTTTATTTATTTATTTTTGAGAGAGAGAGAGGAGGAGAGGGCCAGAGAGAGAGAGAGGTAGACACAGAATCCAAAGCAGGCTCCAGGCTCTGAGCTGTCAGCACAGAGCCCGACTCGGGGCTTGAACCCACGAACCACGAGATCATGACCTGAGGCGAAGTCAGATGCTCAACTGACTGAGCCACCCAGGCGTCCCAGACGTGTCCTTCTTAATGTCAGGAAGGAACCAGGGATGCTCACATTCGAGACTGGTACTAGTCGGTGTAGTAAGACTAAAAAAAACCAAAAAAAACACATCAAAAAGAAATGGGACATGTATTGAAAAGGAAAGGTCAAAACTGTCAGTTACTTGCAGATATGTGACCATCTACCTAGAAAATCCATGAAAATCAATACAAATAATTAGAACCAATGAGATTTTTGGGGTGGTAATGGGGCAAAGCCTGGATACAGAATCAACAATCTACGTGGATCACAGCAATGTTCAAACATAAATTCACGTAGGAGGTGCCCTATGCACAGCGGCCACAAACAGTAAAATATCTAGGAATGAACCAAATAGGACAGCTGATTGTTTACCAGACAGCTAAGACCTAGTACCTATACGTATATAAAGAGCTTCTAGAAATCAATTGAAAAAGACAACCCAGTTTTTACATGGGCAATTGATAGGAAAGGAAGTGCAAATGGACGTGGAAACAGCCCACAAGGATACGAGGGGGAACTAAGTCTCAGGGAAATTAAATTAAAGCATGAGATATTAATATTCATCGTGAAAATGACAGGTGGTTAGTAACAGGTGTTGGCAGGATGTGTTGAAAGGGTCCTGGTTTGACAATAAGTAAGTGCATCACGTTTGGTGGGTGATTTGGTGGTCTCCGTGGAGGAGGGGTCATTCCTTCTCCCCAGGGGGCATGGATACGAAAGCATAAGAGGCGTGACAAATCCATCCTGTCCTGTAGTGTTGTTCCAGCAGCGACAGATAGGAATGATAGAAACGTCCTTCAAGGAGGAGTGGCTGGACAGCGGGCCAGATGGCATTCAGAACACGGCACATGCTGCAGCTTGTGGAACAGGTAGTGAGCCCGCCAAGCTGGTGTCTCTCTCTGGTGACAGCAACGTGCTCTGTACAGAGATGCTGAGTGGTGCCCCTAGGGCTCCGAGGGGTCATGGTGCAGGACAGCAAGCCTTCACAGGACGGGTGCCCATCTGGCCTCGGGGCCTGGCGAGGAGTTTGCCGGGTAGTGACGGGAAGGTTGCTGCAGGCAGAGGCGTGGGAAGCGGGCTGGGGGGCTCAGCGGGCTCCACGCTCTGGGAAGGAGGTTAGTGAGAGGCTGGCCAGGACTTCTTGGACCGACCCCTGGGTTGCTCTCCGGAAGCCCCCACACCTACCAACACGCTCCTCGGCAAAACTCCGTCTGTGGTGCCGTCATCGGTCAGATAGGGACACGGGCACCAAAGTGCCCGAGTCCAGCTTCTGGGCACGAGGGAGCCCACAAGGGGGCGTGGGCCAGGACCCAGGACACCCTTGTGAGGAGGGGCACCCCCCGGGGCATCCTGGTCTAGACGTGGCTGACCAGGGCTTTGGGATCTGTGGCTCCAGGAAGGTGCCGGCTGTCAGAGGGCATAGGGGCCATCGGTGAACTGCACTCAGTGGGGGGCCCTGGGGGGCAGGAGAGGGGGGTCCAGCCCAGTTTGTATTTGGCTCCTCGAGGCTCTCATCACGGGATCCTGGCCTCCAGTCTCAGCCGAATACGATGAGGCCATAAGGAGGATGAGGCCGTGGGTGTTGGGGCCGCGGGGCCAAAACAGAGCAGAACCTTCCTCCTTTATGGTGGGGAGTCCATGCATACAGAAAACCAGGCAGCACCTGCGATGCGGTATTTAGCAAGACGGAGGAAATCCTGCCTTGCTAACATGGGTAAGAACATGGGTGGGCTTTGAGGGGGTTATTCTACGTGAAATAAGTCGGACAGAGAAGATGAATTCTATCTGATCCTGCTCCCATGTGGAGTCTAAGAAACTCTGAATTCAGAGAGAGACAGACTGGAAAGGCAGTTTCCAGACCCCCCGGGGGGAGGAGGGAGCAGGGAGGAGGGTGGGGGGAAAGGGCCGGTGGGGCCCGGGCCGGGGGGGCGGGGGGCGATGTTGGTCTCAAAGGGAGCAAGCTTCCTGCTACAAGACGAGTACATCCTTGGGACCTAAGGCACAGAATGGTGCATAGAGTTAATAATTCTGTGTTGTGTACTTGAAAGTTGCTATGAGGCTAGATCTTAAAATTCTGCACCATAAAAAAAATTGTAACTCTGTGAGGTGACGGGTCACTTCACAATGTGTAGCGTCCACGTATGGTAAGGTGAATGTCCTACACATACGTATAGTACACCATGTATCAGCATTGTTACATTGTGTAACTTACACAGTGTTACATGTGGATGGTATCTCCCTAAATCTGGAAAAATACCAGAATAATTGGCTGCAGGAGGGGTCAAAGCAGGAGGGAGGAGATGGTGGAGGGCCAGGCTGCTGATTTTATGCATGAACCTCATAAAGCTGTTTAAAAATTTTTTAATGTTTATTTATTTTTGAGAGAGAGAGAGAGAGAGAGAGAGAGAGAGACAGAGCATGAGCGGGGGAGGGGCAGAGAGAGAGGGAGACACAGAATCCGAAGCAGGCTCCAGGCTCCGAGCTGTCAGCACACAGCCTGACACGGGGCTGGAACTCACAAACTATGAGATCATGACCGGAGCCGAAGTTGGACGCTCAACTGACTGAGCCCCCCAGGCACCCCTGATTTGTGTGCCCTGGGGCTTCTGTGATGGTGAATGTGTGAGGCTTGTGAGGCATCTGGCCTGAGACCCCCACCCTGGCTGGCCAGCCAGACCACGGTGGTCAGGACTGTCCTGGTGGGCACGTGCTTGTTACACCTGTCCAACGGGGACCTGCCCGGGGCTACGTCGTTGCTGGAGCCCTGGGGACACCAGGCCAGGTGTGGACGGCTGCGGCAGATGAAAGGCTGGGCCTCCCTGCCTCCCACTTGGGCCCACCCCGTTCCAGAATCCCTGAACTGCGAACACAAGGATGGGCTTTGCCTTGGAGTCACATCTATAAAGATTTTTGGGAAAAAACCCAGCACGTTTATTGGCAAATTCCCACCATTCAGGGAAGGCGGGTTGGCACGGGACGTGGCTGGAAAATGACACGTTTGTGAAATGTCTCCCATATGAGACCCTGCTGTCCAGGAACACTGCATCTTCTGGGAAGGCCCAAAGCCAACGTAGCCGGATGGTGTTCTTCTCTGCCCTTTGTCACGTCTGGATTGCTTGTGTGGGGTGACCAGCCGGCCCAGACACGTCCCCAGTGATGGTGAGCAGAAAGCCGGGTGGACCCACGACCTTTAGGCAACCCCCCCCCCCACCACTTCGCCCCCAGTGCAGGGCTTGGGGAGGGTTTCAAAGCCGCTTGGGGTCTGAGTTCTGAGTCGTCTCTGTGCCTCCCAGGGACCCCCACTCCCTGCAGGGCCAGCCCCTCCGCCTGCTCAGAGCTCCATTTGGGGGGCAGTGGTGTTTCTCAGGTATTGAGGCCTGTCTGAATCCCCTGCTCCCATTCTGGGAGCAGGAATCCCAGCGGCATCCTTATAGATCGGGGTGGGAGCCCTGGGGTCTGAGAGGTCCGTGGGCTCTGGGCCGGCGACAGCAGGACCGCTCAGGACCCCACGGAGGGAGGCATCGGGGCATGGAGGGCCTCCAGGGGGCCTGGGAATGCACACGGCTGCCAGCTCCCCCGGAAGCCGTGTCTGCACCGGCTCTGGGCACAGAACATCCGAAAAAGGCCCTTAGAGCTTATGGCGTGACGTGAAGACACATAGCACATCAGTGCGGGCCCACACTGAAGAGGAAGAATAACACACAGAGCCACGGCCACCAGGTCAAGAAATCGGGTTTCCAGTTCCTTGGGACCTGGGCGCTGCTCCCTACGGCTTCCCGTCCCTCCCCCAGAAGTGAGCACAGATCGCAGACCACGGAGGACACGGGGAGAACGTGCCATCCACTTGCCCAGCAGAGGCCCCGCAGGGAGGCCTGCATCTCGGGCTTCAGCCCCTGGGACGGTGAGGAGTAAACTCACGTTTCTAGAGCCTCCTGGTTTGTGGTATTTTTTTCGCGGCCCCTGAAGACTCAGTCAGGGGCTGGGTGGGGGGCAGGGCAGGCCCGCCTCACCTCTGCCTTGCAGGGTCCCTGGGGACAAGCCACCACTTCTCTGGTTTTCCTCCTTCGGCCCGACGACGGGACAAGTGCCCCGGGAAAGACCCGTAGCTGGTCTCTTCAAGAGCAGTGGGGTCCCGTCCAGTGGTCTGGAGGCCCCGTCACTGGCTGGCCCCTGCCCCTCCGTGGCCCGTGACTTCATGGGACACGTACCGAGCCACACAGGTGATAATTGATGCAGAAGCTTCAATACCATTTGAAAGAGTCCATGAACAAAGCAGTGGGCATGACTGCAGACGGGGTGGGCAGAGGCGTGTTCTCCCTGAGCGCTGGCCTCTGCAGCAGAACAAGGACCCGGGTCCAATGGGCCACTGTCGCTCACAAGTAGGACGACTCCAGGACAGCTCAGGCACAAAGTGAACGCGTCTGGGGGATTCTGGACTCCTGAGTCCTCCCTTTTGTCTCCTCCTGGCCTGTTTTCTGGCCGTGAGTGACGCTCACACAACATGCCTGGGAGACACCAGGATTGGAGGCTGGGGGGCCGCTTTCAGGTCCTGTGAGGGGGCTCCCGGCAGGGAGAAAGCGGGGTGACCTGGGGGCCGGGAGAGGTTAGGGAAGGAGGGACAGGGATGTGGGGAGGGGGCGGAGGGGGCAGGGATTTTGGCGGCTTCTCTAGCCGGAAATGAAAAGGTTTCCAATAACAAAGCCACCAGAGGAGAAACGTGGGACCCGGGCTTCCTGGAACATAATAATAGCACGTCCTTCCTGCGTTCTGGGAATGGTGCCCGAGTGCCCGGCATCCTGTGATCCCCTCGTGACCCTCGGGGTCCACTCCGCTTTTACTGCAACTTTACAGATGAGGAAACTGAGGCCCCGGTGTGGTGAGGTAACGTTCCCGAGGCCACATGGCTGGCTAATGGTGGAGACAAGATTAAACCCTGGTTTATCTGACCTCAATGCCCTGGACCATCCCTCTACTGACTTGGGCACAAGAGAGTCACCAAAGCCTCCTCACAGAGGGAGGCAGCGACTGGCCCTCCCAGTCACCGGGTGGTGACCATCTCACTGTGGGGCATCCTGGAGTTGTCGAGGCTCCTTGGAGCATAGGCTCGTCCGCTCACTCTAACCTGGTCCTAGACGTTACACGAGTCTCAGGGGATGCTGGGAACAGGGGAACAGTGGACTTGGGGCTGTCCCCGGCACCCTGGCTGGTCATTGCCCCACTCTGTGCCTGATGCTGTTTTATTTATGATAGGTCCTCTGCCCTCGTCTTACAGGCACACTGGGTCGGCTCTCGGGTGCCAATCTGCCTTCAGGAGACTCTGCACCAGGGGACCCGGAGCTCTCATGGAGGGAACACTCCCACCCCAGCTGGCCGGCCGCGAGGGACGGTGCCCGAGCCACCAGCAGCCGGGCATCCACCGTGGCTCCAGATCCGCCCACTTGTGGCCCAGAGACAGGGTTTACAAAGAGTTGCTAGAGAGGAGGTCTGTGCCTCTGCATCCCAAAACCCAAACGGTCACAGCCGCCGGCCTGCAGGGTTTTAGTGTCTTCTGGGTGGATCAGGGCTCTGGTGGGGAGGCGTCAGCCTCTCTTTAGAGACCTCTGAGGACCTCGTTTACTGTCGCCTGGGTCTGGGCAGGTGTGACTTGGAAATTCGCAAGGACCTTCCTGAGGATGTGCGCACGTGGAGACTGACCAGCCAATTCCCAGACCCTTGGTCTTTCCTGAAGCTGATCTACCCGGGAGGGTTGGTGAAGGGATAAAGGGTTTCCGTCCTTCTCTTTTACAAACTCTGTCCTCCCACTTCGCTCCCAACCTCTTATCTGTCCCAAGTGCGGGCGCCCCGGGGTCTCGTGTGCATCTGGGAAGGGGCGTGACGCGACAGCTGGGAGGCTCCTCCCTTCGTGTGTCAAGGATTTGAAGTGTTTGCTTTCAACTCAGGAGAAAAAGAACTAACTGGGATTTCTCCGGAAGGGCCCATGGGTGAAGGATTCCCTTCATTCTTGTGTGTGGAGACGTGTTTTCCTGTGGCCTTGATACTCAAGGGACCGCTTGGCTGGACATAAATTCTCACCTGTGCTCCCGCCCCCTCGGTTTTGGAGAAATTCGACTCTGTGGTTGTCTCGTTTAGTCTGGCCATGGTTGAAAGGCTTAATCTAATTCTTTGCCTTTTTAATTTCTTTTGTTAAAAACATGTTTATTTTTGAGAGAGAGAGAGAGAGACAGAGCATGAGTGGGGGAGGGGCAGAGACAGAGGAAGACACACAATCCGAAGCAGGCTCCAGGCTAGCTGTCAGCACAGAGCCTGACGTGGGGCTCGAACCCATGAACTGCCAGATCATGACCTGAGCTGAAGTCGGATGCTCAGCCGACTGAGCCACCCAGGTGCTCTGAGATTTGGGCTGGGTTTTCATGATGCTTCAGATGCTTTTTGGATGGTAGTATGTAATTCCGTTTCGAGTGTAGACATGCCATTGGCTTCTGTCTTCTTCCCGCCTCCTCCGAGGTCGGGCGGACTCTCTTCCCTCCATTTGTGTGCGTTCATTTCCTGCCGCCCGGCCGCCTTCTCTGTGCGTTTCATCTCCTTGTTTATTCCGCACGAAGTTTGCAGTTAGACCTGGCCTTTCCTGCGCGTCTGGGGACTACGGTCCTTTGGTGGGAGTTTGCTTTGGGGGAAGGGGGTGTGGACCCCCTGTGGGTCACCTGCACACACTACTCCTCTCCTTGCTCAAAGTCCAGCGGACCTTCTCCTTCCCATGAGGCCTTTGGGAGGGGGCTTCCTTCAAATCCTGCTTTCCCCGTGCGATGCTGGCCCTGGACCACCTTCAGAATCCGAGGGTTTTCTGGCCGCTGAGTCCGTTTTCCCGCGGCTGTGGGTCTGGCCCGCAGCCTCGCTGGGGGCGTATCACGTCTCCTCTTCTTACAGGCGTTTTGCAGTCCTGTTGACTTATTTTTATTTTTTTAATTTCTTAATTTTTATTTATTTATTTTTTTTCAACGTTTTTTATTTATTTTTGGGACAGAGAGAGACAGAGCATGAACAGGGGAGGGGCAGAGAGAGAGGGAGACACAGAATCGGAAACAGGCTCCAGGCCCCGAGCCATCAGCCCAGAGCCTGACACGGGGCTCGAACTCACGGACCGCGAGATCGTGACCTGGCTGAAGTCGGACGCTTAACCGACTGCGCCACCCAGGCGCCCCAACTTATTTTTAATTAATTACTCATTTCTATTTTAATTCCGATATAGTTAGCATTTTGCAGTTTTGACCTGCTTTTTCCCAAGTAACACTGAGGGTTTTGCACAGAAATGTCATGGCTACTTTGGATCATTTGAGGAGGAGAGAGTTGAATCCTGTGTCTGGAGATATTTGACACCCTTCTTTCTTTTATGGCCAAACCACTCAGGCCAACAGATCAGCAAAACTATAGAAGATTTGAACAGTAGCATCTGTCATCGTCACCTCATTGGTATCCTCAGAGCTGCGAACATGGAAACGGACACTCAGAAGGGCATGTGGCACCTTCCAGAACATGGACTCCCTACCTGAACGTAAAAACAAGCTCAATAAAATTCAAAAGTTTACAATCATACTTAGTGCACTCCTCTCCTCTGATGAAATTATACCAGAAACCAGTAAGAGATCTAGAAACCCCCCAAGATATTTGGACATTAAACAAAACTCTTTTAAAGAATCCATGGGTCAGAGAAAAAAAATCCCCGGGTAATTCTTAGGAAATGTCTCATCCTAACAAAAACACATTGGCGTTTGTGCGGCACCCCAGAACAGCGTTGAGTGAGCATTCATAGCCTTGAGCGCTTACGTCAGAAAGGAAGCACAATTTGAAATTATTGATATGATCTGGGGTGCCTGGGTGGCTCAGTTGGTTGAACGTCTGACTTCGGCTCAGGTCATGATCTCATGGTCCGTGAGTTTGAGCCCTGTGTCGGGCTCTGTGCTGACAGCTCAGAGCCTGGAGCCTGGAGCCTGCTTCAGATTCTGTGTCTCCCTCTCTCTCTCTGCACCTGCCCTGCTCATGCTCTTTCAATAATAAATAAATGTTAACAAATTATCGATATGTTCCATCTGAAGATGCTAGGGAAAAAGGCAAATTAAACCCAAAAATAAGGTGAAGGAAGGAAATACTAAAGACAAGAATGGGAATCAGGGTAACAGAAAGCACATGGCTGGTAGATGAATCCGGAGAACCAAGACCTAGCCATCAGAAGAAATCAGTAAAATTTGCAAAATCCTAGCAAGGCCGATGGAGAAGGAAAGAAGGAATCTACAAATTATTGGTGTCAAGGAGGGCCATCACAGTAAATCCTATAGACGTTAGAAGGGTAATAAAGAAATATTAGGAGCAAATTTATGCCAGTAAGTTTGACAACTTAGATCCAAGAACAAATTCTTTGAAACACTAGACACAAGAAGTAACAGTAGATCTGAATAGGCCTGTAGCTGCTCAAGAAATTGAATATATTTTTTTAAGTTTGTTTGTTTATGTAAGTAATCTCTACACCCAACGTGGGGTTTGAACTCATGTCCCTGAGATTGAGAGTCACATTCTTCTCTGGCGAGGCCAGCCAGGCACCCCGAAACTGAATTATTTTTTTACTTGATGTTTATGCATTTATTTATTTTGAGAGAGAGAGAGAGAGAGAGAGCATGAACAGGGGAGGGGCAGAGAGAGAGGAAGAGAGAGGGAGAGAGAGAGAATCCCAAGCAGTCAGCACAGAACCCGAGTCGGAGCTCGAACTCATGAATTGTTGACATAATGAGCTGAGCCGAAATCAAGTCAGATACTCTGCTGACTGAGCCACCCAGGCACCCTTCTGAAATTAAATTCTTACTAAAAAACCTTCTTAGAAAGAAAAACTCTAGAACCTGATGGCTTCATTGGTAAGTCCTGTCAAATGCGTGAGGTAGGACTACTACTAACAGTCGTCTTAAACTAGTAAAATGGAGAGTAAGGACTGCTACCCGACTCCTCTCACTGGCAGCAGAGCTCTGATACAGAACAAGGGAAGTAAAAGAAAATTATACACCATTATCCCTCATAAACATAGATGCAGAAGTTGTTAGCAATGCTTGGCAAATCGAATCCAGCTGTAGAGCAAGGATAACACATCCTAACCAGGTGGGTTTGATTGCAGGAATGCAAGGTTGGTTTTACATTAAAAAATGAGCAGGGGTGCTTGGGGGGCTCAGTCGGTTAAACGTTTGACTTCAACTCAGGTCATGATCTCACGGTTTGTGGGTTCGAGCCCTGCATCAGGCTCTGTGCTGAGAGCTCAGAGCCTGGAGCCTGCTTCAGATTCTGTGTCTCCCTCTCTCTCTGCCCCTCCCCTGCTCACGCTCTGTCTCTCTCAAAAATAAACAATAAAAAAAATGAGCAGAGATCACCACATTCTCAGAATGAAGGAGAGAACTCATGTGGATGTGGAAAACAAAACTCGGCAGCAATGTGTGGAAAGCCCAGCAAGCTGGGAGGAGGGAGGAGCTTCCGGGCAGTGGAAGCAGGAGGCATGGTTTCCAGGGCATCAGGGGCGAGAGGTCCCGAGAGCGCCCACCCAGTGGAGCCATCCCTGGGGCAGCTGCTCCTGGACACTGGCTGGGACTGTGGTCCCTCCTTCCCTGGACTTGGCCTTGCACCTTTCCTTCCACTGGGCGTTCCCCTTGGGGTGGGTGTTCACTTCAGGTTGGGGAATCTGAATTATTAGCAGACCCGTTTCTCGTGCAAAGCAACCCTCCCCAGGGCCCTGGCTCAGGCACCTGTCACTCAACTACCAAGGGCGAAGCCAGAACCCACTGTGAGGAGCTTCCGGAAGAAGGGAAAAGACACATTATTTTTGTATTTCCGGGAACTAGTACATGACACAACACGTGCCGGACGAGGTTCCCTGTTTGTATCTCTAGCTCCCAGGCAGGGCTCTCTCTGTCTCAGAGACAAGAAAACTGGGGCCCAGACAGACTGGGGTTTTGCTCGTGGTGCCCCGTCGTTCAGGGCAGGACTCCTTCCAGAAAGAGACAAAGCATCTCATTTAAAGTCCTCTCGGGTGGCTGTTTTCAACATCTGAATTTCTGGGGTTTAATTCAGAGGAGAAGATTCATGTCTGTTGCCAGTTCAAAGGCGGACGCCCGGGCTTCCAAGGTGGTGGGCCCTCCGTGCCCAGGGAGGGTGTGACCACACCCATAGGACAGGGAGCGCAGGGCACAGCCGGCTGCCTGCCCTCTGTCCCCAGTCCGTCCCGCTGCCTCTCACCCCAAGCTGACTTCCTAAGTTGTCTGAGAAGATAAGACCAGCCGGGATCCATCTGAAAGGCCACTGGCTGCTTTCCCATGGCTGTCAAAGAACCCCGAAAAGTTGGGGCTGGCTGGGTGTTTTGGTGAATGCTGGTTGAATAAACCCCGTCCCAGAAGCCATGGATGGGGAGATGGAAATTGGGTCCAGGGAGGGCCAGGGATTTGCCAAGGCCACGTCTTCAAGTCCGTTGTTTTTACAAAGTCCTGCCTGTGGGATGAGAAAAGCATGATCTGAAGTAGCTCTCAAGGAAAAGCCATTTGATCATATTATGCGTCTCAGGATGTTGGCTCATCTGTGGCTCAGAGGGGTCGGGAGCTCCAGGCTGTGCTGCACGAACTGGTGGCCACATCCTCCCCGTGGAAGGGACGGACTTTCCCGGCTCATGGGACGTTGTGACACCACAGATGCTGATGTCCTGGGAGGTGCCGTGAGCGTGGGGGTGTGTGCAGGGCCATTGTCGCCAGATGGGCGCCTGTGACAGCGCCTCCCGGACCCTACTGTGACGCACATTTCTATGGGACAGACTGTTGCTTTTCTTTTCTGCAAACAGAGACTGGCTGACCCTATGTGAAAGCAGGTGCACCACAGGGCGGGGGCGGGACTCCTGCCTGGACCCTTGCCTGTCCCGCCCCCCTCAACTACTGTGTCGTGCAGCCAGGGGAGCTCAGAAGGGCACATCCTCCCTTCATGCCCAGGGTCACACCCTGTCACCCGGGTCACCCTCACACCTGAGGTCACCCCCACACTAAGGTGTCCAGTCCTCTGGCCGGCTCACGTTGCTGTCTCCTGGCCACATCTATGACCCCGGTGACTGCAGGAGGGCAGGGGACTGTGGGGGCTGCCTGTGCGCTGCCAGGAAATGTGTGGTTCCCGAGGAAAGTCCCGGGGCT